GATGCAGTTCAGGCTGCCTGCATAGTGACGATTATCGAGAATCCTGGTCGCCAAACATAGTAGGCATGTGCCCGTTGGTGCATATGGTGTCATGGTCATGTTCAATGAGTTGATCGGCAACCACTGGGGTGCTCTTCTCTGTGCATCTATTCAATATGCTAGCGTCTTCTCAGCTTGAGAAATCATTAAAGATGGTTACGAACACAGACAAATACCTGAAGGTATCTAGCCAGATGGATAGGAGACGTTGATCTCGTCGGCTTCAACCCAATATTCAGCTTGGTGCGCTATTCAACGCATAGCTTTGGATCACCTAGAAAATACCGGCATTTTGTTTTGTAGCGTCTATGACTCGGGGCCTGCTCTATTCTTTGGTTGTTCTTGTGGCAGTTGTCGTTCGAGGCGGCTTCCACTGCTGGTTGATGTCCCGAGGTCGCATGAGAACCAAGTGTGACATGATCGAACAGCTAGCTTTAGCGAGGGACTTGATATCAATGGAACGAGACCCAGCTGATATATGAAGGGTTTTCCCGATCGCAGCCTTATGCGTGAAGCTGGGAGTACTGCTGCTTCAGAGGCGTGAACTCGAATAAGGCCAACGCCAAGGACCGTCCGTTTTGGGGGGAGTTCGCTCTCCCTGTCAGGAATTATACATCTCAAATGGAAGCCGTCGCCGTATCCATTCAGGTGTAGCTGCGAAGATGAAATGAAATAAGCAAGATGATCCAGCTCTGAGGATGATGGGGCAATGTGTATCAAACTTCGCTCTCTCGAACGTTATGACTCTTAGGCGAAGCTTCGTGGCTAAGTGACTTTCCTCTTGTGACGAAGAAGCTCAGGAGGCACAAACATGATGCCTTCTTATTCTAGATGGATAGGAGAAGCCTTGTCTGTTTGGGCACATGGAAATCGTAAAGCTTAGAAGCAAAAGATACCGCAATGATCATGGAGACCGGGCCTCAAGGTTCAGAAGCGACGAGAGCAGGCTCTGGCCGACTGGGAAAGGTAGATGGGTAGACCCTTCCCAGACTGTGGCAGTACTGACTCCTGTACCAGCAACAAGCTCAACCATATCGCCATGAGGTATCAAGCCACTAACCGTGTCACTTATCATCGTCGCCGTCAGCGTTGAAAGCAAGAAATCTGACCGGGATAGTAGAGCAAATTCCATAATATGATCATCTGTTGTACACGCAGCCTCAGTCTTCCTATATATGGTCCTCAGTTCCTTCCTCATGGGACGAGTGAGACTGTATTTCTTAGTTCTGCGACTCGACATCGAACTTGATGAACACATTTGAACCAGAACAGCAGACGGATAGAGCTTACAAAGGACAGTATGATTCTTTGCAACCCGTAAACAGCTCCAGATCCATCTAGACAACCTCTTTGTATTTCTGGAAGCCATTAACTCTGCCACATGCCTCCTCTGCACGTTCCATCTCCCGTCCTCAAGGTGAACTCCCATCCCATCTCCCCATCAACTCCCACAACTTCACCTGCCACTTAGCCCTACAACAGCAAACCACCATACTAAGCCTGGAGGGGATAATGAATGGAAAAGGTAGGAGCCTGCTCGAGCTTCCTTCCCTGGGGTGTGCAGCCTTTGGCCTCGTTATCATCTTCACCTTGGTTCACTTCCTCTGTAGGCCACTCCTCCCACTCCCACCTCCACTTGGTCAACTTCAACTTTTGGTCACATACCTATCTCCGTTACATCTCAGTCTTCACAGCCATACGCCTCGCTTCCCGGAATCAAACCTAAAAAAACATTTCTTCTCCCTCAACACTTCATCCTGCCAACCTATATATCCTCCTCCACGACAGGCAGTGGAGGACTCAGACCACTTGAATTTCAACTCGACATAAATCTTCTACCTCTCAAATCCCTAAATCAATTGCTTTCTTGGTCATCGGTACTCCTACAATCAATTCATATCGTTCTTCACTCTCACCTTCCTCAAGCTGGTCAGGGCCAACAAAGGCGAGCACAACCCCCTAAGCATTACCTTCCTTCAGTTCCCAAAGACTAGAGCCAAGCACAACAGAATGGTTCCTCGCCGAACTCTCCCTTCCAGCAAGATGGAGCTCACAATTCCCGACGACAAGCTCCATAAAGTCGTCGGCCGCACTTTGGAGGATCAGGAGACACACCAGCTTAAGCTCGTCACAAAGCTTCTGGTCGGTCCCAATGGCTCTTTGCCTGACTTGCCTGCTGACTCTGCCCCCAAACCCGCATTCTGGGACGATATACGCCAGCAATTCCTCACTGCCGGAGTTCGTGAAGATAAACCTGGAAAGTCGACTTCTGGAGCAGGTCCTGACAAGGCAGCGACATCCCAGGTAGGCCAGACCAACACTCCTCTGGAAACCCTACTGAAGGTGGTGCCCATTGGCAGTGAGATCATTGCCCATTTGTGGCTTGTCGACACTTCAGCCGTTGGAAAGCTGGCCTCTGTTTCGAAGGGCTGCTCCGACGCCGTTGCGATCCACGTGGTAAGTAAAAACTGCAGACAAGTTTACCCAAGTACCCAAAGCTTACGCTGTTGTAGTCTAAATTCGACCTGCCTACGGGCGAGTATCGGGACTGCGAATGGCTTCCAGAGGAGCTGGCTCGCATGAAAGATGCCGACCGGGCCATCATTGACATCGGTGGCATTGGCCGCAATCTAATCATTCGTGGCAAGGCCCTGAATAACGATCCGTATGCCGGACACATCGTCAAGGGTATTCCGCGATTCTGGTCCAGCCTCCAGCAGCGAGATGAGTTGTGGGCTATCTCGGAGGTAATGTGCGAGGACAATCCTGAATACGTCGATGACTTTGCTCCCTTCCACCACGGCGAGAACAAGCTCCTCGAGGTTGAGGATCGCTGGAAGCGTTGTCTTGAGGAGATGGGCTTGCCTTCTTCGACAACGGACGCGGACGAGCGCGGCAACCTCTACGTGGCTGAGATGAGCTATAACATTCCGATGCGTAAGTCCTCCGAAGCATAGTAATTGTGCTCACAGAGCTAACAAAAAAAAGTGCGATCTCTGTTCCAGTTTGGAGGAGCACTCACTGCACTGCGGTTGCATGAGGTTCCTATGATGGACATCCGCATTCTTGAGCTGATCCTTTCTGCTTGCCCTGTACTTGAGATACTGGGGGTCTTCAAGTGCGAACTTCTCCATGTTGCGCACATCAATCAAATTCTCGATCTTGTCTTCCAACGCGCCACGAAGACCGGCAAGAAGCTGAGAAGCCTTCAATTTTATCCTCGCTCTTACACCGAGCCGGCCCACAACCGCACCGGCACCCACGTTCTTTCTTGGAACCCGCTCAAGACCAACGTTGAGACAAGCATCTTCGTTACAGTCTTCTTGGCCATCCTTAAGGCCGTTCCCATGGGCATTGATCTCGTGTCTGAAGGTCAGTTATTCCGCCGGTTCCTCGATCTGGTGCCGATGAAGCCTGGCCAAATGGCTCTCTTCCTGCACCACGTCCATAAGTGGCTTGACGCAGCAAAGACCCCTAAAGCCTATGACTGGCTCACTGAGGAAATCAGCCCCCAGGGCAAGTTCCGCGACCCTCGCCTTCTGATGCTTGAGGATCAAGTTCTCCTGAGTATGCTCCAGGGCACCAAAGAGGGGAAAACTATGGAGAAGCATCGGCGACCGATTTATTACCACGAGAAGTACGAATGCTGCGGATGTGGATGCCAGATGCTTGCGGTCCTCTTCCGCAGGGAGATGAAGTCACGTCACGCCGATCATCGCTTCTGCCGCATCTGCGACCTTCGGGGTGAGCTCAACGCAGAGAGCCACCATCGTCTCCACGAGAAGAGGACGATGCTGAATAGCTTCCTTTACTCTCCCAAGGATACCGAGGACAACACTAGTCCAACCGACGATGAGCTCCGGAGCGTCTGGGCTCCCCCTCATCGAAACCCCTTCATCGAAGGACCGATTATCAACGGACCACATCGTGAAGAGGCCGTTCTCCAGCACCGAAACCTCCCCAAAGTTCAAGTTCTTATGCACGAATTTAGACACTTCGACATTCTCAATGCTGCGGGACAGGCTGCAGTTCTCGACGCCATGGAAGCGGGCTGCTGGAAGGCTGGGGTCTTCAATGACCACCCTACCATGACCGAGCAGACTCCATATACGAAGATGAGAGTCCCCAACCAGAACATGCTTCGCAAGCAGGCCTGGGAGCATGTCATTTGGAGGACCTACTATAAGGACGCTGGTTTGGCCGAGCAGCAGGCGGCGGCAATAGCAGCCGGACACGAACCTCCCAAGCCAGCTGGCTTTTGGTGAGAAAGAGCTCTCGAGAGCTCCGCAGGACAATCCCTAAAGTATCCGCAGACTTACGGCATGTCTTGGAGGCATACAACAACAGCATCACTACCAAACATTATTATTATTGACAGATCTGGCGCGACCAGTCTCAACCCACCAAAAGCAATAGACAACGTTCCAACACACTTCTCCTTATCCGAAACCCCTCCACCTCTCCTGCCACTCCGGAACACAACAAGACGATATTGGATATGGAAAGTGGAAGATCTTGCATTGTACAAAACGAATTGGAAAGAGACGAGCTTTTGCGCTGCTGCGTCATACATTATTGGAAGGCATTGAGCGCTTTCTATTGAGAAGACGGCAAGATGAGTTCAGAAGACGCGAGCAATTTCGTGTTGCTTCGCGATACTACATCAGACAGCGATGGCCGGTACTCATCGCGAAGTGAGCGCCATACACCTCCAGAGTAGGGGCAGAAGGATAGACGACCACCTCCATACGCAGGATTATGGCGGCAGATGAGAGAAAGGGATAATCGTTCGATAATTGGCTGGCTTGGTTCGATTGGTTTGCTCATTTGGTCCGGTTGGTTTTGCTCTTTCAGATTTCCTTTTCAGTCGGCATTGCAGCCTGCTTTCTCATAATACACCCTGCTTGAGGAACAGGCAGGACTAGGTTAGATAGTCCACCGAAGCAGTAGCAATTCTCACTCTTACGTCCTCGTGGTATGCTCTGTGATCTCTCGCGTGAAGGAAGCGCTCGATGCTCTGTATGATTTCGAACCGTGTCTTGTTCTACAATGTGATACATCTATGAGTCTGTGATGTTGTACAAAGATTATTACACGCTGCCCATGCGTCCCAACTCCATCTAACATTACAAGGCCAATGTAAACAACAGTTTTGACCGAGAAAAACAAAAAAATGCTGCTCAAGAAGCAGACTCCTTGGACTGGTCAGATGCAACTTCTTCCGTCTGGTTAGAAGAAGGCTCCTCCGTCTGGTTCTGAGGCCCCTCAGTCGATAACCCAACCACGTTCCTCAACGTGCCAAAGCTCAAACAATCGCTGATCCGGCTGGCGCCAGAGAACAACATCACAAGCCTCTCAACACCACACCCCCAGCCTCCCGTGGGCGGTAAGCCGGCCTCGAGCGCCCGGATATAACTCTTGTCGAGCGGCGCGTCCCTGAGCGGGTGCGGATCATCCGCCTCAAGCGGCGCAGCATCCTTGCCGGTGCCAAAGAAGCGATGCTCCGCGAGCTTGCGCGCCTGTGCGGCCGGGTCGTTCTCCTCTTCATACATGTTGGCCAGCTCGCGGCCATTGACGAACAGCTCCGTCCGCGCCGACACGAGCTGCATCGTCTTGGGGCAGACGAAGCTCTTTGCGAGCGGGGACATGCAGGTCGGGTGGTGCGTGATGAATAAGGGGCCCTCGAAGGACTTGGGCTCGAGGTAGACGGCCGCCAGGCGGTCGAGGAGTTTCGGCATGGTGGGCGGGACGCCGCCGGGCACCTCGATCTTGCTGAGGGCCAGCACGGCGACGAGCTCCGAGTAGGCGTCCTTGCCGGTCAGCTTGGGGAAGCGGAAGCCGAGGGCCTCCTCGAGGGCCGGGATGAACTCGAGCTGGCGGAAGGGGCGGGCGAACTTGGAGAGGTCGACGGGTTGGAGGGAGGTGAGTTTTGTGTCGATGAGCTCCTGGCAATGGTGCGCCAGGCCGGAGAGGAGCTCCTCGGTGCGGTCGATGAGCTCGGGGAGGTTGGTGTAGGCGCTGTAGAACTCGCACATTGTGAATTCGGGGTTGTGCGTGCCGTCGATGCCCTCGTTGCGGAAGGCCGGGCCGATCTCGAATACCTTGTGGACGCCGCCGACGACGAGGCGCTTGAGCCAGAGCTCCGGGGCGATGCGAAGGGAGAGCTCCTTGGAAGGGAACTCGGTGGCCTGGGTGGTGAAGGAGCGGGCGACGGCGCCGCCTGCGTTCTCGGCGAGGATGGGCGTCTGAAACTCGAGGAAGGACTTGTCGTGGAAGTAGTCGCGCATGTACTTTGTGATGTGGGATCGCATGCGCAGAACGTCGGCGACTTCGGGGTTGACCATCATGTCGACGTGACGTTTCGCGGCCTTGGTCGCTGAGTCCGTCAGGGTCTGGGGGATCTGCTCCATCGCGGGGGAGAGTAGCTCCGGGAGGACGACGGCCTGGAGGGTGAGCTCGCCGGTGCTTGTGCGCGTAGGCTTGCCGGTGATAGCTTCAACTGCAGTCTTAGCATCATGTCACCAAGTCCACGTAGGACAGCGGCAAGTGGGCTTACAGATGTGATCGCCCTTCTCAATCAGCCGGGCAAAGAGTTTAAACGTATCAATGTTCATGTCAGGCGAGTGGGCGCCTAGGTTGCGATAGTTGATCATGCCCTGAATCTTTTCGAACTCATTGACAATAGTGACGAAGACGAGCTTGTTCCCGTGGAGGCGAACGGATTGGACGCGGCCTGTGGCCTGTCAGCGAAAGGCCGATGGTGGTTAGGGATGCCGCCGCCGGCCACAAGCTGCTGCGGCTTTTGCTGCTGCTGCTCTTGTGGAACGACGACTTGTATTTCATTCTGCGTACCATACAGGGTGACGACCTCGGCGTTGCTGGGGTCATTCAACTCCTCCTTCTTCTCCCACACCTTCCTAAAGGCGGGGACCGACATGGGCTTCTTGCGATGGACCAGCCGCGGGTGCGTCTCCTTAATCACGCCCTTTTCGCGCACCTCCTCCAGCGCCTGGAGGCGCATCTTTTTGAACTCTGATATCCTAACCGCCTCACTCTGGTCTGATATGTCCTGCTGACGCTGCTCTGCCCCCTTGACTACCCTATCCTTCTTCTGCCTCTTCCCTCCGGGCCCATCCTGAACACTGGCGCCACTTGGTCGACCGACGTGGAAGGACTGAGCCAGCCTGGCAACGTGTGGTGTGCGTGTTGCCGGCCGCAAAAACCGTAGACTCTGAATTAAAGTCATCGCGTCTGATTGTTTCCCGTTAGCTTCGATGTTCTTCAAAGATCAATGTGCTAATGAGGTTGGAAACAGGGTAAAGAGTAGGATGTCAGATAATAGGCGGTTTAAATCAACCACAACAAAAGAGCTGTGTAAGTCGCAGCGGTTCTGAATTGCTTGCAATCATCATATGAAGGATAATAGAGAGAAAGAAATGGGAGAGCGCAGCTCAAGACTTACCACCATAATTGCCCAAGAAGATCCTGGCTCTTCTTGGTGTGGCCAAAAATTGATGTCGGGGTCAATTTGCACAGAAATTTTGCGACGGCGCGTTTTTATCTTGGCCAGAAACGGGTCCTTGACGTTATCGATAAAGATGAGCGGAACAAGCCGGCCCGGGAAAAGGGTTCCCAACGGAGCAGCGACAATTGGGCGGCTGAGCTTCAAAGCGGGGCTGACTCCTGGCTTACCTTGCCTTGGACGAGACGAGCTGAACTGCCCCAGGCGCGCATACCAAGGTAGCTGACGCGCGATAAGATAAGGCAAAGGAGCTCTTCGTAAAATCTCGACTCTGCGACGTCAGGCAAACAAGCTACCCGCCAGTCAATAATCGTTCTCGTCGCATCCCACGAACCTCGCTACCTCACCATCATCACTTCACTCTGTTAGATTTTCTCTAGAAAACCAAAACCCACAAACCGCCAACATGTCTTTCTTCGGAATGGGCCGCCCCAAGCTGTCTTCGGACGAGAAGATCGCCATGGCTGAGCAGGAGATGCGTCTGTTGGCTGATATGCACAACCGGTACGTCACCATCAACTTGTTCCATTCTCTGGAGTCCCCCTCCCGAGGGAGCATATGCACCTCCGATTCTCGTGATGAAGTTGGCAGATGGGGGATGAATCTGAAGGAAGAGGGCGTACTTTCATTGAGACAGCTGTAACTGACATGCGCGTCCCTAGCCTGACCAAGATCTGCCAAACCAAGTGCCTCCCCGACTACCGCGAGGGAGACCTCAACAAGGGCGAGTCCGTCTGCCTCGACCGCTGCGCTGCCAAGTTCTTTGAGGCGCACATGAAGGCGTCCGAGGTGATGCAGAGCGAGAGCCAGAAGAGAGGCGGCGGCGGCGGCATGGGCGGCGGCATGTTCTAAGTCTATCAACGGATTAGAGGTCCGTGAACAGGATCAGTTATGATGAATCATTTGGACAGAGAAAACGGAGCGGGAGGAGGAACTTGGCCACGATAGAGAGATGGGAGAGGAGAGCATCGACAGGGCGAGGCAGCCTCGCGGAGACCAGCTTTGCTCTACTGTAGCATATGCCATGACGCAACAGTATCTCGGGACGAGATGGGGGATGTGGAGAGGCATCGCGTCGCATGCTTTCGCAAAGCTTGGGAAACGCGCTGATCCGAATGTACTTTTGAAGCAGAACCCGTAATCGGGAGCTTCGTGTATAATACCAAGGGGGACTAGAAGTAAGTCCTATCAATGAGAAGAACCACCCTCACAACTTCGGGCTTCCCATGGGCAACCCAGCAATTGGACGACCAAATTTCGATCCACAAGGTCCCTCCGACACGGAATTCATAACACGAGGGTCTTCGTGTTTGGGGCAGCTACGGAGGAGTTAGCCGTCAAGCAAACTCAGCGTCCATTACTCATATCCTGAATCTTTGGTGGTCAGTTTGCGCCACGCATGCCCTCCATGGTGACGGTCTTGAAAGATATATCCGATGCAGCTGAGAAATTGGAGATCGGTGGAAGAACGTTATAGGATGTTGTTTAATCATGTCTTTCGACCAAGATCCGATGCCACCGTCACGACTGTTGTGAGGGCATACGCTCTGCTTATCCGTCCAGGCGTTTGCCTTTTGTTGCTTACAGTGCATATACCAAAGACATCTCCTTGTCTATCTATTCTGAGTATTGGCTTCTGGTTATCTTGACAGACGCCAACCTGCATACGAAACTCGAGTTGAATTGACAGATAGAATGACTTGTCCAGGACGTCACTGCCATCCGGCAGTACGTGATTTGCGGTTCAGGAAAGCCATCATGAACGGCGTCAATGTTGCATCCACTTGGCAGCTACAAACCCTCAAAGTTGCAATTGGCGTTGCGACGACAGGCATTGATCATTTGCGATCCCCTCTCCAGTACCCCCAACGTAGTTACCAAGTGGATGATGTGAAGTAAAGCCAAGGTGACAGACATCCAGCACAAGATGCCACTAAAATCTAAGAACCGTCAGAAAATAAGAGTACCCGTACCCAAGGCGATTTGATAGGCCACAGCGGCAAATCTGGCAAGAGAAAGCATCACAAGTGCCAACACGTTACGGAGTACCAGAGGGCAATCAAACAAAACCCGCGGGCCCCGTCTCCATCCCTTTCAGGCGAATCGCAGCCAACATGTCACCAAGTGGTTGGAGCCATTCTTGAAGCATCTTAGTCAACCCTTCCCTGCCATAATAGGCGACCAAGACTCCCTTTTACTATTTAGTCGAGAGAAAAACGTCCCAAAACGCGTGGCCTTCGTCGTCGTCGCCGGCAATTCGGAGCCGAATGACCATCGGGTCCCGGGATTCGGCCTTGGCCTGTTTTTTTCGTCGTCTATCCCACAACTTTCTCAAGTCCTTCTCAGGATTAAAGAGAAATCTGCCTTGCCTTACTCCGTATTACTAACCTATGTGGGAACTCATGAGGAATACTAGAGAGGCTCGGCGCCGAGGAGCCAAGTTCGGTATATGCTCGGCCCTTAAGGGACACCTCCGAGGGGGCCGTAAGGTAAGGTATCCGTAGTTTCAGAATATCTTGCGTGTGAGTGGTATCCGTCAGTAGTTTCTGCGCGGACTATCTTTCTCACGTGGACTTTCGTACTGGGGTTTAGGAAGTGGTGGATTCAAGAAGAAGATAGCCCGCCAGATCTCGGATTGCCCGCCGGTCCCACGTGATACCGCGATGGTCTTCAGTCTTCGTGACCGGCGGCCCAAGCTCCGATGACGAGGGTACAGATAGAGTCTGGATGGTAGTGGACAGAACGCCATTTGGACAGCCTCGTTTGGGGGAAAACCCGAGAAGAGCTCGAGCTAAGAGGCAGCCGGCACGAGTCGGTGTCGGCTGCTGCCGTGCCTCGAATAAGCCGGGAATATGTAGCTACATACTCAGTGTGTGGTTCGTCGAGCCCCAATTGATAGACTTCAATTAATCAGCGTGAAATATATAGAGTAATATCGGCCAAGTTGGTTCGCAAAGACGGCCTCGGGAAAGCTAAATAAATCATCCGAAGAATTTGGGAAGATTGGTGTATCCATAGAGGACAATTCGTGCTCAGCCAGGGGCACGCGCTTCGCTGCAGCGACGCAAGAGCCCTTCTCTGGTACCAAGGTGTCTGGCGGACGCCGCGGTAGCCAAGTCGTGGGTTTGTCGTCGTACATGACTCTCAGCCGCCAGGGATTCACAACGACTTTTGAGCAGTGGGCAATGGATTGCTGTGAAGTGCGTCAACGTGTCGGGTTGTCGACCGCCTTTCCATGTTACCCCAGAAACCAGGGGGTGTTGAACATAACAAAATGAAGGACTCCTTTCGTAATGTATACGAAAGCCGAAGAAATGGGGCTCTTTCCGGGATGTGTTAAACATAGAATCGAGAAAATGAACGAGATTCCCCCGTCCCGCAAAGGCTCGTCGGAGGAATCCAGTAGGCGAGATTGTCAACTGGACCTTTCCCGCCCCCAAACCAATCAACAAAGTCTTTTGAAAAGTCGGTCAGGTCTAGACTTTCGGAGTGTGGTTTTCTCCTTGCAGAAGAAAGACGCAGAAAATAGAATAGGTCATTATTGGAATGCAAATTGCTCTCAAGAAGAGAGACCGCGGCTGCGGTAAAGATGGTGGCCGGGGAAGCAATGCCGGTTGATCTACCGCGAGCAACACCACCCGCTGGCATGGAGAGTGATGTAAACTCTCACTCTGTCGAGTAACTCACACCCGGGAACTTGGGGCTCTTTTGACTCGTTTAGATCTGCGACAGGGTGAGTTGACGAACAGGCGACGGACGGGCACCGAGGGGAATGACCAAGCCAAGGATTGGCCGTGCTGTCCCGCCCTTGGAAAAGTTGAGCAAACTCAGGGTTTTTGAAGGGAAAAGGGGAGAGGGATGCTGTTTCAATAATTCGGATGAAGACGAGAGAGTTGGCAGGCCTGGCAGTGTGTGTGCTGCGCGGCTCAGCCAGCATGGAGCTTGTTTCGTACGCATTGACGGGAGGACGTCAGCAAAGATAAGAGGCGCATGAGGGTCGTAAGGCAAGGAAGGGTTGAGCGGACGAGACGTTGACAGAATTCCGGTCTTCACTTGAGTCTGGAGAAAGTTTGTGCGTATGAGTGTGAATGTGAGAGATTGTCTTCGCGATGGTGGTTCAGTTGACTGAGCCTCAAACCGTGGTATCGCGATGGAGTTCCCGGCGTGGCTTAGCGGCATTTCCTTGTGTTTGGCGACTGTGGTCACTGCATTATTATCCGTTCTGCACAAGGCCGATCGTCATCCTCTAGCCTCTGCGTGGGTGCGTTGGCAATCATGGCACATTTCTCGGGGCGGCGCTCACGGACGGGTTCTAGTGGAGTTCTGGGATCGGAGGCCGTGGGTCCAGAGATGAGTGTGGGCGTGGGCGTGGGCGGCATTGATGAGGGTGGGAGGGATGTAGCGAGTGCGGGAGTGCAACGGTGGCATGGCGGACGGGTCGTGGAGATGACGGTCTTTGAATCAGGTCGAACTGACGTAGCACGCCTTTGAATCTTGAAGACTTTGGAGACCCCGGGAATGAGGGAAGCGGATACATACAAATAGAATATCCGTAGAAGTACGCAGTATGCCTATCTGTTCCTTGGGGAGGCTTCGTCCAAATCGAAAGACAAGATTAGCCGCACTGAGATTGCAAATTCATGTTGGTATCCGTACCTTTGAATAGGTATCTGTAGTGAGAGCAAAAGAGACGCGTATTCTGCCTTCGCTTATTTAGTGCTTTGCAGAGAATTATTGCTTTTTGAAACTCCGTAACGGGGAACCCATAGCGGAAGATGCCGTAAGCTTTGATGGTTGGTTCGGGATACGGACCAGGAATCGGAGTGAGACGAAAGCAAAGTAAAGCGAAGCAAAACAAAACAATGTGATGGTCATAGAATACCTGGAGAAAGCTGGCATGAGCGGTAAGCATTTTTCCCTTCAGCCCTTTGACAACGGAACGCCGGGAAACCAGCACCTAAGCTTAGGTAAGGTTGCGACTAAGGTAAGGAAGCGCGCCTGGCGTCTGGGACGGTTCGCAGATGAGCCTATCACCCGCCTGAGGGAAGCCACGGCGTGGTCCGGCTGGGCAGTCTCGAGGCCGGGATTGATCTAGGACGGTAGGACCAGTGTTGATCAGTCTTGCGTCAAGGACTATCTGGAGAAGTAGAACAAGGGAAAAAAAGGTTGGTGAGAATGTGGCTGTGAGCAGGCCTCATCTCATCTTTCCGATCTCTCCAACCAACACGTCTCCATCGCGATGGTCATAGATGTCAACAATAGTGCTACTGCTACGGAGTACCCAGAAGTTTTCCGGGTCCATACCTACTTCGTTGTCAGTGGACGGTACGGAGTTGTGTGACCGTTGCTGGCTGTCAATAAAGTCGTGCATGTTAAGGGGAGAACGGGGAAGAAGCAGCGGGGTCGCGTGTTTTTCGAGAACGGGTTGACTTGCAGGTCTGCAGCAAGCGGCCCACCACAGCAAAGTATCTCACGGTCGTCGAATGTTAGCACGGTCATGAGAAAGAGGCAGCCACCCGGCCCGTCATCCCATGTTGTGTGCAGTGTATCCTCGGCTCTGCACTAACAGAAGTGGACGGTCCACGATACGGTCGATACCCAGTTGTGCCAGACTGCCAGTGACTGCGTAGGTACTCCGTAGTGCGTAGGTACCCAGTGACCCACCACCCACCTGGACCGCTGGGCGCACCATCTCCACGGCCCACGGGCAGGTCCTATTCCTGGCGCAGCCCGCTGCAACCTGGAGCCCGGGTTCTCTGCACAGCCCTACTGTCCCTGGACAAAACCAGCCTCTCTCCTTGGTCGAGGTGGCATTGGATCGGGGGGAAAGCCTGGCAACCTTGGAGTTTCTCTACTGAGGTGTGGACGGGTATCCGTAGTTCACGGATACTAGCAAAAGTCTGGAGAGATTGAATGAGGGCACTGGCTTTCTGGCTGTGCTGTGCCGGCACTAACGCAGTCCAAAGATACGGGGACCGACATTGGATTAATCGATGAAGAGATGCACCTAGGTCCTAGGATCATGTGTGAGGATGAGGCCTCTTGCTGCTGTCATATTCCTACTTTATGAATCCTCCACATGCCCGTCCTTCATTCTCGGTTTGGATCTTTGCCTCGACTTCAACTCTTGAGTCTTCCAACGCCAAAACGCTACTTGCTGAACAACACTCAGTTATACACCTCAGTATACGGAGCAGCACTGTCGACCGGTCGACCGTCAGAAAGCACTAATACGAGAAAAGGAAACAGCCGAGTCCTGCAACCACGCAACATAGTACAAACTCCGTAATACCAAGAAAATCTTCCTAGGCAAACCACTCAATCCGTGTCTGATCGATCCATTATCGGCCAGACCAGACCGCACCGGCGACCCACCCGCCTTACTTGCAGCCTACCTGCCAATCTGCGCACGCCGCACGCCTCTCACTCCAAGACAACACCTCACGCTCACCTTTTCGAGTCTCACCTCACCACCTCATCACTGCTGTTGAAGGAGCCAGAGTTGAATCCATCCTCCCATTTAATCGACCACCCGCAATCCATCACCAGCAGTTGATCGCCCAGTCGGACGAATCGAATCCCCCACAGACTTCTTGGAAAGCCCCCGACCCCGGCCCTCCTACGCTAAAGGAGGAACCGTCTTACCTCACCGCGCATCTGCGCTACAACGCACGCAGTAATTGGAACAGACATCCGGCATCTGACTTTTTAGAAAGAGCCGCCAAAGCAATCTTCGCCCCTCATTCTCTCTGGGTCTGGAATTTGTACGGAAAGATACGTTGACGACAACGACAGCACTACCACCACTTACATCACAATTCACATCCACATCTACAACAACCTCCGTCAGTCCACGCCTGACATTGCCGCTCTTTTACCTTATTCACTCATTCATCAAAATTCACTCGAGCCATTGACTGTAACTCTTGCGTCTTTCCCGAAAAGTTGCCAAGGTTGTCATTGCTTCCCGTCTTCCGTCGTCCGCCGCCCACGACCTTTCCCTGCTCAGGTCCATCCTTCCCTCCCCCGTGCCCCCCCTCCCCTTCTGGTCCTTTTTGGGTCCTTGGTCCTCGGTCCTTGATCCACTGCTTAGCGTCTCTTGGGACTCCACCCCCCTCTTCCTCCTTCCCAGCTCACGCTCCAGTGGCTCCTGCACCTGCACCTTTCTTTCCACCTGGCACACCCCCGGTTCACAACCACTGCCCCCCCAAAGCCCCAAGCCCCAAGCCCGTGGTGTTCCGTCCTACCTTTCGGATAGGATAGGTACATAGACTCTCGGCTGTCTCTTGCTGCACAAAAAGGTACCTGTGCCTGCTGCCTTCGCCCCCCTCCCGCCAGGTCCCTATCTACGGTTACTACCTACGTATTGCGCCTGTCAAACCCGGAGACAGCGAAGAAGCAGGAGAAGGGGAAAAAAAGACAAGAGCCCTGTCCGTCTTTGAACAGATCAAACTCCTCATCCCGTTTCAGCTTCGCACCAACAACATCTTCGCATTCTCTCCTTCTCCAACAGCTTTGCCCCTTGCTGTCAACCAAAACCCAAAAACCCAAAAAAAACCCTTACCGTCGTTCAGGGAAATCCAAAACTTAATCCCGTCACTTTCCTCTCCCTTTCCTTTGCTTTCCTCCTTTGATCATTCGCGCCTGATTACCTTTCGAATTTCCCGCCGACGGGGTCCTCCCTCGCTCTCCACTCGCTTTCGACACTACGGTATCCCTTGACCACTCGATTGAGACGAGACCACGCTGAGTCTCTTACTCCGGCGGTCCCCCCAAAGAAGGACTTTCATTCGATCCGACCGGTCCCTCTACCGCCGCTGACGCCTGCCTTTGTGTGACATCTCACACACCAATCGCCCAACCCGACACAGAACATCCAGTACCTTCCGGCACGCAAACACGCACCAACCCAGCCTCCCCTCTCATCCGACGATTTCCCACCACTTTTAAGCATCATCTCATCTCGACTCCTTCCGGGGAGTCGCCAACACCGTCGATCTGGCTACAAGGCTAGACTCCCGCCGTTCTTTGCTCGGCGGTGACCCGAACTTTGCCGGCTTCGACCAAGAACTCGCCGCTCGCCAGTACGCTCAACAGTATCAGCAACAATACCAGCAGCAATACAACCCCCCGCAAACATCAAACAACCAAGGCTACGCTTTTCGCGAAGGTCTCGCTCCATCCACAATGAACGGTTCGCGTCCCAGCAGTGGTGCCAGTGGCCCCCTCGGTTTCGGCTTCTTGGGTGCCAAATGGCCCAGAATCTTCTTCCTCATTACCCTCGTCCAGGCTTTGCTTTGCTTGGGCTTTGAGTGGTAAGCTGACCATCCGTCGTCGCTCACAAAATTGATTGATTCTAACCGCCACACAGTTACGTCTTCTGGAAATTCCAGACTGGTTTGACCGACCAGGACCCTCACCAAAATACAGATACCACGGATGCGACCGACTCACCGAGGCGGACAATCCCGACTTTCCTGACGCTCTTCATCTTTGGATTCTTGTACGAATTGGTTATCGTTTGGGATGCGCTCCGGGCAAAGAACACCATCCAGGTTATCGGAGTGTGCATCGCCAACCTCGCTTTACTGGTCTACACTGCCATTCAGGTCGAACAGATTGAGGAGGCTGTACAGCAGCTGAAGGACAACAATGCCCTCAAGGACCCGACCGACGACATGTGGGCCGATGTCAAGCCTTACCTGGTTGCAAGCCCCTGCGTCCTGGCTTTTGGAACCATCACCATGGCCTTGACTGCCTGGAAGCTCTATCAAGTCTTCGCTTGGGACATTCTGAAGACTATAGGAGCCGACTACAGAATGAAGAAGCGTTTCCTCCACTACCAGGTACGTATCTTCGGACCCTCTGATCGTAGCTCCGGCATGGCTAACATGAGATACAGATTTATATCGCACTCCTGAAGTTCGATTTCTTCTTTTTCCTCGGTTTCACGGTTCAGTTCTTGGTTATTGTCAACGCCCGTACCGACGCTGAATTTGGATTGACCATTGCTGCGATTCCGATTACCATTGCCATTTTACTTCTGGCCGCATGGTTCACCAGAATCGAGAATAAGGTCGGCATGGCGACTGTTCTCGTCCTCTACTTTGGCGGCTTGAGCTATTTTATTTTCAAGCTCGTCCGTATCTACCAGCCACACACGGCCGAGCAGTACATGCCGGTGCGGAAGTCGCTCACTGCCTTCACCGTCATCACTATTCTCCTCATCATCTGCACCATCGCCAACTGCGTCGTCTGCATGCGCAACTTTGGAGCCGGCCTGAAGACTCACCTGCGGAAGCCGTCTCGCGACCTCGAGAAGAGCCAGGACCTCAACTCGATCAACCTGCAGGACGTCAAGCCACAAATTGCGAGCAGAATGACGATTGATTGAAGAAGGGGTGGAGCTGGCTTGACCCGACGAGGCAATGCACGATCAAAGAGATACCGCTCGATTGTACAAAGAAATGAATTACGAAACAACGCCACCTTTCTTATCCCAACAAAAACCCACTACGGGATCGTAGGCGGACGGAACGGTGGACACGCGGGGCCGGGCGCGTGTCGGACTGATTGAGATTCCCCATCATCGGCTGTTTATTTTTTTTCTTCACTTTTTCTTGACTTTCTCGTGTGATACACACTGTATGGCGTTGATGATGCTTGATCTATCTCCACCTAGCGAGGATGAAGAAGACTGGCCCTAGATGGCGGAGTTATGGATCTGTTTCTACGTAAAGTCGCACTGGCGGCGAGATCCCGTCTAGGGATATCACGATGGTTAAGGGAGTAGCTGAAAGGCTTTGACTTCCTATACGTTTCTACGTCGCCTTGGGGCCACCGGGCAGCGAGATGCAATAAAATACCTTTCCTTAGTGTAGCTTAGCGTTAGCATGAGGTAATTCAAATACCATGACGAAAGCTATTGTCCCATTCAAGCCTGCCCGACTTCTTTCTCGACAATTCTGCATGTATTGAAAGATGGAACAATATCACTCGACGTTCGCTGCCATCATGGGCGTCCCGATGCCGCCCCCGTCCTTCTGCTCCGGCCGGGTCCGCACTCCGACCTTTCCCAACTTCACCAGGCCGATCCCGGCCCGGTCACCATCGGTCTCGATTATGATGCTTGCGATGCAAAACAAACACCGCTGACACAGGAACTCATCACGTATTTGACATGCGCTTGTATTTGCGCTCGCTCTATCCAACCTACTCAAAACAATAACCCGGATCGCTGTACTAAACAAAGATTGTATCCGATACCTAACGCCACCCAAAAAGAAAGAAATGACCTGCCCCATCGTGATTGAGGAGTGTTTTACCCATCGAATCCTGTCCCACAACGCCTGTTGCCCCGGTCCCAGGCCCCGTCGTCTCACTTAATAAGCAAGTGTGAACGCAGGCCGTGGTGTATTGAGAGTCACCCGCCATGAAATGACCAGGTCCTCAATGAGTCGCTTGAGATGTTCACATCTATCCTGCAACTCGAAGCCTAATTCATCCTACAGCTTAATTTCCCGAGCATCTTTGATATGTCCCTCATTGGGGCAGTATGGACACTTGAAGCGGGAGCCCTTAGTCAGGCGCTGGAGTGACTCTTTGCAGATGACGTGACCGCAGGGCAGCATCATTGGCGGGTTCTGCTCTGTTGTTTGCTCTTTGCTCACGGGGCAGACAAAAATAGGGTGGTAGATCATGCTGCGAGGTAGCGGCGTTTCGAATGCAAGTTCGCTTTCCGTCGTCCATTCAGTGCGCTTAGCTTTTACGTATGTTGTGTACTTGATGAGCTGGGGCAAAGCGATCGCGCCGGCCGTAGCAGCGACATAGAGCGGTGATTCGGCAGAGAGGCCCAGAAGAGAGCAGAACTCGCGCGTGAAGGATAGGGCGACATCGTCAAAAGCGGCAGATGTCTCGAAGATGTTGGCATATGGCGACTGGCCGATGTTGGATGCGTAGACCATGGCGCAAGACAGCTGCTGGATCTCCTTGATGTGGCGAGCCTGGAAGCGGCCAAAGTGTCTTTGTGCGTAGGCGAGGGCACCTATCCGGCCGTTGCGCTCGTCATCTGGTAGGCCGTTGACTTCGGGGCCCTTGAAGAGCCAGACGAACTGAAGTTTGCTCAGTTCGAATTCGAGGTTTGAACCGCGGGCTTCGAGCTCGTCGCTGTTGCTGCGCGCCCACTCTATAGCTGGAACGAGGTTCCGGTTCTTGAGCTCGTTGAGGATCTTGTACATGCTCGCAAATTTGTCCTGCAGCTCCTGAGACTGAAGAGAGTGTATGTCCGCGTCGAGAGCTGGGTTGTTGGCGGAAAGTGGCGGAGGTCGCTCGTGGGCTTCGCGGAGGAAAGTCGAGGCCACACTGAATTGGCCCTCGCGGAGCATGTGCATCGCTACGGCGCGGTTGATCAGAGAAGGATACGCGGCCATGGCATCGTAGTCTGTCGAGAGTGGTCGAAGGGGAAAAGACTAGAGAAGCGTGTGTAAGTTGAGGTTCGTCTGCGAACCGAGGGTAGTTCTTTAACACATACCTTATCAAGGGCCTTGCCAAACGTCTTTTGGGCTTTCGAGACCTCTTTCAAGTCGTTATTTATTGTGTCAAACCCCGCGGTGACGGGGTTTTGTAGCTTGGCCATGGTCAAGCCTGCGCGGTGCGGATCTGAGGTGCGGTATCGCTGTGAGCACACGACCCGTGACGGCATCGTGGAGCGGGGCAAGTGACATACCATTCGCAACTTGCTCCCTCGCCTGAATGAGTAGGTCAAGGAGCTTGTCGGAGTCTTTGACGGCTGAGTTGAGTGTCGCTCTGCGGAAGCGCGAGAGCTCCGCCTGGAGGGTGACCATGGGGTTTTGTTCTGCCATGGTGGTGACGGGACTGGGGAGGAGAGGAGGGTGTATCCGTATGTCGTGATAAGTGAGTGTATGTATAGTATGTTTGCTTGCGTGTAGCTCGAGATTCGGGAGATTATGACGGGAAGATCATGGCTACGGGCTCCCCATGAAAGCTCAGCTTGGTAGTGGGAAGACTGCTCTTACTGTGTGTCGGGAGTCGCAGCGCAGGTTTGGTGGTCCGATGGTCCTGCTTTGGGGTTTGAAAGATGAGGTTGAGGTAGGCACAGACTGAGCGGTCCGTCACCGATAGTGGAAGCTTCCTCGGCTGGCGGGCTCACTGATAAAGCGTCAGGCGGGCACTCGCGCGCCTTGTGGTACCTAGAAACCTCAATTCCAGCGTGCTGTGCCTGCTGTAGCCGCTGTCAGTGTAACAGTGCAGTTATGGTAGCACTGGATCGACCTGCCGGCGAAACAGCGGCCCGGGAATTTGAGCGATGGTCTAGCGAGGGGGAGGCCTGAAGGCATGGGGGGGCAGGGGAGGTTAGCTCGGCAGATCTGGGTCATTACAGACGTGGGGACGGGAAATGTTAGCGTCTACCGCAGTACCGCTCGATTTCGTGCTACCCTTCTTCCAGTACTGGTCGTACAGCTCCCGGCCCAATCAACCAACGCAAGCCACGACAGCGACGGTAGGACATTGCGTCACATGCCGACCAGCCCTCCGAATGAAAGAAAGACACAACCTAAACGATCGAAGCGGGAGAACATTCGAAGCACGAACGAAGCAGCCCGACGAAGACGCGCCCCTCCAGTCACATGCAGAGTAACCGTTGGACATTCCTTTGATTGCGCAGAAACCCCCCCTTTAGGCGAGCGATTCCGACGACTATGACTTCTTCGTCTTGGAGATAGTCGCAGGCGCCTCCAAAAGTGTCGTCGATGCACCGAGTTTCACCGCCGCACTCCTGCAAATGGAGATGTCATTCCGCTTTCCCTTCCCCGTTAACGACCCGCGAATGCATCGCGAGGAGGAACTGACTCTGGCGAGAGTCGCTTCTCAGCGAGGCGCCAATGGTCCTTCTCCCCTGGGCACGCCCTTACCGCTTGAGGCGCGAAAGGAGGCCTCTACCGAACCTGCGACACCCTCTCCTTTACCGACCACGAAGAGGAAATGGGTATTTGCCGATCCTGTAGCCTTTAGGTGAGCTCTCCTATCCCGGCTCCGTGACGAGTCGGCCATGCTAATCGTCTCTTCACGCAAAAGATACCTAGAGAGCGATCCAGCGGTCACGGTCCTCGAGCGACGAGGAATTTTGCAGGGATACGAGCTGTACTTGGTCGAACAATGGGCATGTTCACGGAAATCGCCAACGCTGGTCATCGTCACGTATACGGGAGACCCGAAGCACCAGGTCGTTGTTGGGGTGCTGGCCGTCCCTGCGGACGAGAGCATATGGTCCGACCGCCTACGATTCTACTTCAAGGCCATCCACCAGTACCATGCGCGGCCGAAGGAAACGCCGTTGGGCGACGTGATGGTCACGAACCTCAGCAGCTTCCCCTCAGCTCTGACAGTCATACCCGTACCCGAGGGTGATATTCGCACCCATCGTCAAGCCTTCATCGTCAACGAGAACCTCAAGCGACTGGGATGCTCTGGGCGATCTGGCATGAATCTTTCAGACCCCACACCTGCAACCCAGGCCAAATTTTACCAGCTGTACCGGACAAGCGAGAAGGTTCCCTTTACCCAGTCGGCGGTGGAGCTTGTCAAATTATGCCAAGTCTCTCTCTTCATGTTTGGGAAACTTGACATGGAGTACATTGATGGTCTGCTCTGCGACAAAACTGAAGAGTCTATCGGAAACTGGTGGACAGAGATTGGCGCCGAGTGCTACAATGTTGAGCCTACAGACGGTATCCTGGGTCCGACGACAACGGCAGCCCTGCTCGGACTACTGATGGGCGCCAGGAATCGACTGCACTACTATGGTGCGCCCGTGTCCAAGGACGTGTTTGATATCGAAAGCACCAAAAGGGGCATTGGATACTTCCAGAAGGCATACAAACTTGAGCGGACGAGACGGCTGGATCGTCCGACAATTCTCAAGCTTCATTCCGTCACAGCGAAAGCTGCTGCTGGTGAAGGCTGGGGCGTGCAGAAGGCTGTCAAGTCCACCGTCGCCGAAATCGGCGGAAAGAGGGGCGAGCTCGTGATTGGCATGGTCGGCGGGAAAGATAAGGCTGGCATAGCTGACATTGAGACGGTAGATATTGACAAGTTTATTGCCCTGGCGTACGGCGAGCGCGCGAAATGGCTCTGGTACGGGAAGCCCAGGAGAGCAGCACCGGAACTACAGGAGAAGCCAACAGACGTGGCGCAGCCGCTTTTTGGAAAGGATGAAGTTGCACCGCCATCTAGCAAGCGAACGCAATCATTGCCGCTGGAAGAGGAACTTCAGAGACAAAAGGAAGAGTCACCTGGCGTATACTCAACTCCAGCGCCTGCCTCAGCTGTTAGTGTGGTTGAAGGATCGGGAGAGAAAGACGCGCTTAGAAAGAC